TGAACCATTCAAGTGGTAGAAAGTCTTGCCTTGAGTTAGGCTGAAATCTGCCCTTTTGTCACGTGTGCTTCTGAATCCCTATTCTGTCTGGGACAGAGTGACTCCCACTTCTCTTTGGCAGCCTTTCAGCCTGTCAGCTGACTTTGACCTGCCTCCCACCCAATACTTCCTTCTCCAGGCTAAACTTCCCTGCACACCAAGTCCCACCCTTCACGTGACCCTCACAGGTCATGTGTCCACACCCTCTGCATCCTGATCCTTCCCGCCCCCGCCCCCCACTTGTCAGTGCCCCTTGCAAAGCACAGGTACTCAGAATGGCCACCAATAGCCACATATGGAGTATCTGTAAGGCATGGCTCACGGGGAGATACAGGGATGTTTAAGACTCTGGATTTACCCTCAAGGAGCTCACAGTCTATTGGGGAGACCGGATAAACCCATACTAAGTGGGGAAGTGGCAGGGCCAGTGAGGAGGAACCTCGTGTGGGTAGGGAGGTTCTAGTGGGAAAATATTTCACCTTCCATAAATGTTCAGACTGGGGTGGCTGCAGCCCTCCGAGCTTCTTGGTGGAGCTGGTGATAGAGGCTGTGCCTGGCCTTGCTGACCCAGGTGACCTGGGGCTGGTGAGCGCAGGAGAAGCATTTCCAGCTGCTGTGACATGGTGGAGACAGAGCGTCAAGGGGGTGGCAGCAGTAGAAGGAACCTTCAAGGGTGATGTGCTCTAATGCTCTTATTTTATAGATGAGAGAGGGGGGAAGCCACCTGCCCCGACTCATGTGTCAGGTAGCCCAGAGCCTGAACTCACACTGGGTCTCCTGGCTCTTAATCCAGTGCCTTTTCCAAAGAAATGGAGGACAGAAGCCAGGGGTCCCCGTGAGGTCGAGAGTAGAGGTTTACTAGGCCATAGGAAGGGGACGGGACTCGGGGGCCAGGAAGTGGGACTAGAGCACTGGCAGCTGTCCAGGCCTTTCCTGGAAGAGGTGGGCGGATGCTAGCTCCCGGTGATTCTTAGCTGAGTGGGACTTTAGGCCTCATCTGGTCTCATCTGAGTTCCAGGTGAAGTTGCTGGGCCTGGAGAGGAAAGTGAGTTGCTTGATATCATTGAGATGGATGCTGATAGATGCAAACCCAGATCTCCTCACACCCACGGCTGGGCTCATTCTACACGCCCACCACCGTCCCTCGAGATGGCCCATCATCACCCTGGTCCCACAGGCCCAGAAGTAACCTGAGCCAAGGGGCAGGGTTGGGTTTAGAGATTTGGCGACTTCCCTGAGACTGAGCTCTGAAGCCAAAGGCAGCCGCACCCTCCCCGCACGTGCTTTGGTGCCCTCCTCCTCGGGACCCACAAACAAACACTGAGCACCTACTGTGTACCAGGCGGCATAAGGGCTTTAAAAGGCCAAATAGGAGTGAACTCTGTCCCCCAGGGGCTGGAGATCCGCAAAAGAGAGACAAGTGCTGACATAGGTAACTCCCTCAAGGTATGCTGCGATGGCCCATGACAGGGGTTGACGTAGCATGTGTGAGAGCCCCGAGGCCTGGCACATAGTGGGTGCTCAGAACCTGGTAGCGCACAGGAAGTGGTGATAACCGGTAACTGCCGTCAGCTACCTTAGACATCTGTCCAGACCCCATGGCGTGTGTGCATGTGCGTGTGTGTGAGAGAGAGAGAAAGCGACAGACAGACAGAAGTAATAATAGCAGCTCCTGCTTATGGAGCCCTTACTGTGGGCCAAGCACTCAACATGAATTACTTCATTAAGTCTTTGCAGCAGCCCATGATGTATTATTGTCCCCACTTTACAGATGAAGAAATTGAGGCACAGAAGGTTAAATCATTTGCTTATTGTCCTATAATTGTAACTGAAAATGGCAGATAGGGAGTTTAAATGTAGGTCATCACCTTCTCTACCATGCTGGCCATTCCACCAGGGGTGGAGATGGGGCTGCTCTCCAGCATACCACCCCCCAACTGAGTCCCTACAGCCCTCCGCATGTGTCTACGACTTCAGTGGAGGGCAGAAGTGAGAGAGACGGCCTGTGTGTGGAGGAAAAGGAGGCTCAGGCATCGCCAGGACCCTGCCTCAGGTCTGAGGACACCCTACTAATAACAATAGCAAGACCCACTCAGCACTGACTGCACCCCAGGCTCCGCTCTAGGTACTTTGTCAACTCATTGAATCCTCACACACAGCCCGAGGCCCATCCTGTCGCCATCCCGCATCGAACAGATGGGGACTGACACAGAGAGGGCGGTAACTTGCCTGAAGTCTGGAGCTGCTGCTAAGTGGCATCGCTGGATCCAGCCCCGGCTCCCCGAGTGCCGTCTGTGCTCTTAACCAGTGTGCCGTGTTGCTTCTCGCTAAATGTGCCTCTAGCGCCTGGGAGGTTAGAAGCAGGACTGAGGCAGGACGGTGGCTGGGGGAAGCTGACCGGGTGGAGGCCAAGGGAAGAGGGAGGGTGGAGCTTGCTCAGAGCCCCTGAATGCACCTCCCTTGCAGGTAGGGAGAGGGTGCAGGACATAGGCCAGGAGTTAGGTCTCTAGGGGCAGAGGACCAGAGTACCGGGTGGTCTTCGTCTTTTCTCCTTGATCTTCTCCAAGCCCCTGCCCAGCCCCAGCCTGCGGGGCACCCACGCCTGCAGAGGACATGTTGACACAGCTCCTCTGGTTTGAGTCTTCTGGGCAGGGGAGGACGTCCAGCCTGGGCGAGGCATGAAGGCCCCGTGTCTTGGGCTCCTCTCAACTCCCTCGGCCTTCGGAGGCCTCTGTCTCCCCGATCTTCCTCCTGCAGCTCCCTCCTCTCTGGCCAGAGGCCACAGGCTGTTCACAGGATCCCAAACACGCAGGCCTCAGTTCCTCCATGTATAAAATGAAGCATTTGGACGTGATTTTCTGTTAGGTGCCTTCCAGACCTGACATGCGGCAGCTTCCCAGTCCACTGCCTGCCCTTGCCGCCCCCAGCAGAACCCCCAGGGATCAAGGTGCTGCTCTCTGCAGTCAGAAAGCAGCTGGAGGTGTCTGGGCTCACCTGACAAGCTGATGGAAGGGTCTGCTGGAAGGCGGACTGGCCCAGCTGTGGAGCATACTGGGACCTCAGCCTAAGGGAAGGGGGAGCAGCTGAGGTCAGGGCTGGGCTGGGGAGCCGGGGGAAGGATACCTAGTGTCCAGTGTACACTGGGGACATTGACCCGTTTGAGCTTGTTTAGAAAGTCTAATGGGAGCAGGGGAGGCCAGGCAGCAGGGATGACCAGGTGGGCGTCTTGCTAGCAACTGGGTGAGCAGCTCATTGTGGCTGTAAGTGGAGGTGGTCACTGAGGTCAGGGTCCAGCCTGGTTCCCCAGTAAGAAGTGGGTTAGCTAGTAGGCCCCAGCTGCTCCCCAGAGCTCCAAGCGAGGGGCTGTCAAAGTCTTGAGCACAAACCAGAACTCTGCCCAAAAGCCACTTGTACAAATGAGAATGACTCAAGGGCCGGGGCTCCCCCCAGACACACCACATCCCAGGCTTGCAGAGGCTGGGCTGTCTGCAGACCACTAACCAGTGGGGCATCTGAAAGGGCTCTTCGGGGCCTGCCTCGCCAGGAGGCCTAGGCAAAGCTAAGGCCACAGCTTCAGGGTCAGTGTCTGTGTTTGGGAGGGGCCAAAGGTCCCCACACCCACCATAAAATGAACTCTGTTGTCTACCCTGACAGCGCCCTCTCGCTGGGCATTCGGCCAAGCAGTGGACATGGAAGCAGGGTGGGTGTTAGGAAGTCAGTGGCAGCTCCTCCAAGCTCGCCATTGGGGGCCACCTGTCCCCGCAGCGCAGACAAGTTCCAGGCAGAGAGAAGGTCTCTAGTTGCTTGTCAGAAAAAAAGCGCTTCATCTAGATCCCTTCTGAGCAATTGACAGGGTTGATGGTAGCTGCAAGCTTACAAAATTGGCAGAGGTGGCAAAGGGGGTTTCTGTAATCCCTCACTGATGGATTAGACGGTGGGACAGATCTCTCAGGAGCAATGGGTGACCTTGAAAATGTGGATGTCAAAGGGAGAGAGAAATAATCTCCCTTCCTCAAACTGCTGCCAGTAAGCCTTCTCAGCACTGGGGTGGTTGATGTAAACTTTGCTGCCGTTGCCTCCCAACTCAGGAGGCTGTAGCATTTGACTGCGTGATAAGAAATTGCCAGGCGCTTTCTAATTATAATTATCATCGTCGTGGCTGTCTCTCTTAATTACTTTCTCATAATTAGCTTTTGCTTTTTCCTCAGCATTTGTGTACTTTGCAGATTTGCTGACATTTGAGAGCCCCAAAATAGGGACATTTGGGAAGGAGGGCAGAAAGGTGGGGAAAACATGAGAGGAATGGATTCTTTTCAGGCAACCTGATCAATTTGGGGGCCTTTGCAGAAGGAAATTGGGGAAGCCAAAAGATGGGTCATTTTCTGAGCTGATGGGGAAAGAGCAGGAGTGAGGATGTAGGGATTGGGCTTTGTGGAACGTCTCCAAGTGTTCAACCTTGGAGGAAGTATTCTTGAAAAGCCACCAAGGCTGCCATTTCGCGGGCTTGGGTTTCATTTTAGGAAACAAGCCTGGGATGAAGCACACCCTTGTTGAATCCTTTTCAGAGTTAATTAAATAACTCGGGTCAGGAGCAGCTTGATTTTCCCCCAAACCAGTGATGCGTTCTGAGCATCCCTGGGCCCCAGGGAGTCTTTACAAAGTGGATTGTGCTCCTTGACCAGATGGTTGGTTTTCACTCTCTTTTCCTGTTCTTCCTCCCCCTCTTCTGATCCCCTGCAGCCCTGTGTACAGAGGAGTGTGTGCACGGCCGCTGCGTTTCCCCGGACACCTGCCACTGTGAGCCCGGCTGGGGAGGGCCCGACTGCTCCAGCGGTGAGTCTAGGGTCTTTGGGAGTTGAGCGGGGCCGTGGCTCTGGCTGGGGAGGGGCCGTGCCGTGTGGATGCTGAGTTCTTTGTCCTGGGCTTGGGCTACCTAGCGAGTGTGGACAGCGGGGAGGAAGCATACCTACCGGATGGTACTTGGGGTGGAGGGCTCCAGGGGCATGAGGGTCATGGTTTGTGGCAGCCTGGAGGGGCATTGCATGTCGTGTGTATGGGGAATTGTGGGGTCATCTGTACGACTCTGGCTTTTGATGAAACACCTCCGGATAAGGTCTTTGAGGCTTGAAGTGAAATTGAGATGCCACCTAAGGGCCCAGCCCCAGGAGGTCAGTGTGGTCAAGGCCTTCAGCTTTGCTGGTGCAAAGGCTCAGTGGGTGCTCACAGAGGCTCAGGGGACTTATTTATGAGACTGATGGGTACTGGGATGCCTCTGTGTCCCCAAAGGTAGGAGAATGGGATGCTTGTAGGGCTGATCACTGTGTTCTTACATATCTCTGGGTAGACTGTTCACATTCCCTAGGGAAGGCTCTCTGGTGAGTACGAGTGAGGCAGATGTTCTTGGGACCGACAGAGTGACTCATAGCAGCACGGGCATCATCTCTCGTGGGGCTGGCCGCCGAGCGGGCAGGGTACACCGGCAGCTCCTTGGGGAATTCTCTGCCCGGAGCCCAGCTGAAGGCAAATCCTTCTCCTTTGGCTCATTTCCCTTAAATACTCACAGATGAGCCTCTTTCCAGTGGCACATTTTGCAATCAATGGTTGGTTAATGTCATGGTCTTATTTGATTTCCAAGGAGATCTTGATTAATGTTAAAGCCCAGTTTTCTTCCTGCTTTGAGCTGGGATAGTATCTTTTTGTGTGTGACTTGAGTAGGTAACAGAGCTAAGCTGATCCAGTAGGGGTCTAACCCCCATCATTGACCCATCTTTGGGAGCCACCTCCCCGTTGCCTGTCCCATAGTGACTGCAATGGTCGTAACAACGTGGAGAAGGAATGGTGGGTCCACATTGGCCCAATGTGGTGATCTTGCCCTTTTCCAGTCTCTGCTGGGGTGGAAACATCTAGTTATGGTCCTTTTTTTCCAAAGGCCTTGACTGGACCCTCTTTGTCTACCCAGTATATGGGAACATACCAGCCAAAGCAAGCTATTGGATGTGGTTTTGTTTGGGCCTGGGTGCTTACCTGGCTTGGGGAGACCAGGATCTGTTTGGGGTGCTCCAGAGACTCTCTCCAAGGTGTTGGGACCTCCAGTGACTGTGGTAGCCTCCTCCTTCCACCTGTTTCCCTGCTTTGAGGTAAGTCACGCTGAGCAACAGGGCAGGGACTCCTCCAGACAATGAAAAGTACACCTGAGGAACACGTGAGTTAAAAGAATGTGTTCAAGCAGTCTTTCTGTGAACTCCAGGAAACATGCTGGCCGAAATGTTTGAGAGCTTTTCCCCGCCTTGTCTGTGTTTCGTTTTGTGTAACTTTGCCTACAGTGAATCTTTGATGGGGAACTATCTAACTTGGATTCTGTGAACCTTGCTGGGACAGGTCTGCTTGCTGTTGCCAGATTATAATGTCAAGCTCAGTCTGTTGGAGGTTGAAATACAGCCTGAGTCCCGGGAGTCCTGAGTGCATATAAACCACCAACCAGTGCAAGTGTGTTTGGTGCTCACTGTTTCTAGACTGTGATGATTCGGGGGCCTGGAGGGTTTTTCAGACAGAGTCTGTCTCTCAGGGTTTCCTTCCGGTCTAGTGAAAGAAGTGGAAGGGAGGCGGCCCTTGATCGATGGGAGTAGGGAGTTTAGAGTAAATCTTGCCCCTGGAGTGTGCTTACCAAGCACGTAGCCCTGTAACTTTACAGTATAAAACCGGGCTGCCCAATTTCCACTCCCAATTCAGTCATCAGACTTGGTGCCGAGCAACCCACAGTGTTTCTTCAATAAATCCACCCTCATGGCTTGAAGAATCACCAGCTCTGCATCTACTCAAGGGCATGTGCTACTAAACCCTCAGAAAGTCCTAAAAGATAAGTTCCAACCCTCTTTTGAGAGACGGCAGCATTGAAGGAAGGGAATTCATAGATTCTCATTCTCAAAATCATCTGTCTCTAGCTTAAGGCCAGGGCTGGGTCGTGGATCTCTATGGCCCTCCTTGCCATGTCTGAACTTTCTCCCAAGGAGCTCAGTGAACAAGGCCACAGACTGTGTGTGGGACGAAGGTCATCTTAGAGCAGTTGATAATAGCCATTGAGACCACACAGAAGACACCAGAGTCCCTTTCCGTGGGTCAGGCCTTCAGGTACTAGAAGGCAATGGTCACTCCCCCCCCCCCCCCCCACTCAATTTTTATTCTCCAGGCTCCTTTGTTTCTCGCGTGACATGGTCTGAACTGCCTTCCCCATCTAGTTTCTCTCCACTGGCTATGGCCTTTGTTCCTTTTAAACGATCATTCCTAGATCTGACCACAGATGCAGGCTTGTATGGAAGAATTACAGTAGAACTAAGTACTCTCTGTTGAATTTTCCTGTGCACTACACTTTATTCATCTTCTCATTTACTCTTCACAGCAGCCCTGTGATGTGGGAATTAGCCCCATTTTACAGATGAGAAAGTTGAAGCACAGAGGGGTTAAAGAACTTCCAGAAGGCCCACGGCTAGTAAATGATGAAACTGGGACTGTTGATCAAGTGAAAACCTAGGTCCTAAGCCTGAACACATAATTATTATGCTCTCCTTCCTTCCGGATGCTCAACCTCTGTTAACACAACCTGAGGTTGAAATAGCTCTTTGATGAGAGAACCGAGTTGCTCACAGGGGAAGGAAGGATCTGATTGAAAGACGTGGCCCTGGGATGTTGTCATGGAGACGGATGAATCAGCCATGGGACACAAATTGTGATTATGTTTACTCCAAGCAATTTGACCCTGTTTGCTATTGTGCCATTGGACCCCTGTCTGCCTGTGTGTGCTCTGTGGTGCCTGTGTCCATGGAGATGGGTATCGTGATGAGCACAATGTGTATCTCTGGAGGTTTCTGAATGGGATCTGTCATTTGCATGTCTAGACGTGTGACATCCTTGCAGGGAAGCTTTGATTTTTCTTTAGTCAAAAGCATCATTCTTGTTGGTGTTTTCCTCTGATTCTAAAATCGTACCTGTTCATGTTAAAAAGGAATTTCAAACTGCACCAGAAGTATAGACAAAAAGTTAAACCCACACACCCAGCGATAACCAATTCTGGCATTTGGGTGCTTGCCTTTCCTTATTTCTCTGCACATTTGTTCTTAGAGTTAGATCTGGACACAACTTTTATTATTTAGATCAAATGTATGTGCTATTCTGTAACTTGGTTTTTTTAATTCAACTGTATGTCATACACTCGTTTCCTTCTCTGGATTCCTAAAAGTGTTTAACCAGTCTCTTGCTGATGGACTTTTAGGCTGTTTCCGATTTTTCACTATATTAGGCCCACCGTCCTTTATGAGAGATTCTTGTGGCCTGTTGGTTTCAAACTTTAGATTTTTTCAGAGTTCAGGAAGGTATATGGTGACTATATCATATATGACATATTTCTCCAGTGGGGTTTGGTCAGCACCTTGGGATGAAACATAGTAATATTTCTGAAGTGACATATAACTGATCACATCTAGTGATATATAGAAGATATTTAACCACAAATCAGTTGCACGAAGATTTTGCCTCGAAATGAATTTTGGAAAATTAAAAAATAATTCCTTTGGACTCTTTAGAAGAGTTTTGGGTTGTTGACATGTGAATAAGGGATTGTGGTCCTGTGTAAAAATGCTGCAGTGATTCTTCTCGTGCATGTATCTTTGCCCACGTGTCCCAGTTTCTTCTTAGGATAAGTTCCTGGAAGTGGCAGGGAGGATTATAAAGATCCATCATCCTACTGCCTGCCCCTGCCCTGCCCTTTGTGGCTGCCAAGGGATTTATGACTTTGATAGACATGAAGGGGACAAATCCGGTAGTAGGATGCGGTGGGGAACTTTTCGTTCTTTTATAGACTTATAACCCCGTAGCCTAATTTCTTGAAGGCCTGGACGAATTTCTTTCTGCTCCATAAAGGAAGTGAGGTGATGCTGATTTGCCTGGTAGGTAGACATGTCAGCTGTCGTGGATAATGCCAAGATATTAGATGGACCAGTAATGGGGAAATGGAGGGGCTGCATGCTTGGTCATAAACCTCCATCTTATATAATAATGAAGAGTAAAAGGATGAAATGTCAGTTTATACTGAATAAAGACAACAGAGTGACTCTTATTAAACTGCACTAATCTCACAAGTGGAGATGAAAAGAAAAAAAAGTTTTGCTACACTGAATATCTAGCTTTTTAAAGTAATTAGGAATAGTAAAGCACTGACAATGATTGAGATAGAAACATTATTCTTAAGTTTTATTTCCACACTGGGCAATGGTCCAGTGTATTTCATTTATGAGGTTTCAGCTCTAAGAGAAGGACGTGAGCCAATTCCCAAATTAAATATGCCCTGTTAACTTTTATAAATGATACCCAAGAATCAACTTGGAAATTTCAGCCTTTCATTGTATTATTTAACTACTGTATTCTTGGGTCCCGCTTCTCTGGTCCTCTGCCTCCCTCCCATGGTGATTTGCAGTTTGGGTTCTGGCCTGTAGAATGGCATTTTGGTTTTGGTCTCAGGCCTCCCCCGAGGGCTGGGGTAGACATGGAGAGAATCCCTCCCATTTCTCCATAGTCTCGCACATTCTTAGATTCCGCTGAACTGGTTTTATCCATGCGAACAGAGTGCGGGAGAGTAAAAGTCCGCTCCACAGCCTCTTATTATTTGTTGAAACTGTCCCCCCTACCCACACCCCAGCCCTCCAGGCCTTATGCTCAGCACGAGACAGGGCTGCAGAGCAGGCCTGAGTAATGAATGCAGCAGGAACCAAGTTGGGCCACCACCAAGAGTAGCTTCTGCCCAGTCAAATGTGTTCTTTTTTTTTTTTTTTTTTTTTTTTTTT